GTGTGTGTGTGTGTGTGTGAGAGAGAGAGAGAGAGAGAGAGAGAGAGAGAGAGAGAGAGAGAGCAATGAGCACCAAGGAGAGCCCGTCGAGCACCAAAGGAGCTAACACGATGAGCAGCAATGGAGAGAAGATGAGCACGGAAAGCACGGATTGAGGATGAGCACGAATCGAGGATGAGCACGAATCCAAGCACGGCACCAAGTCCCCATCGAGCAGCAAAGGAGAGCTCAGTGTGTGTGTGTGTGTGTGTGAGAGAGAGAGAGAGAGCAATGAGCACCAAGGAGAGCACCAAGATGAGCGCCGACCAAATCGAAAGCACGGAGCACGGAGCACGGAGCACGGAGCACGGAGCATGGAGCACGATGAGCACCGAGCACCAAGCACGGAGCACGGAGCACGATGAGCACGGAGCACGATGAGCACCAAGCACCAAGCACCGATGAGCGCGATGAGCACCAAGCACCGCCCACGATGAGCACGATGAGCACCGATGAGCACGGAGCACGATGAGCACCGACCACGATGAGCGCCGAAAGCACGGATCACGATGAGCACCGAGCACACACGGAGAGAGAGAGAGACAGAGAGGGAGAGGGAGAGAGCCGTAGCGCACCGACCACGGAGCACAAAGGCGCACGTTGAGAAAGGCGGACGAAAGTGCCGTGGGCGGCAACAACATTGCGCGCGGGCGATTGGAGGGGCGGGCCGACAACCAAAAAACGGGTGCGCGGGCGATTCGGCGCTTCGGGTACCAAACGGCACCTTTGGGGGGGGGGCACGATTACGGGCAGACGGGCGGGCGGAGGGATGGGACACGATTCGAGGGGTGGGCAGGCCTGCAATTCGGCGCACGCCGGGCTGCGATCTGGGCCGTCCGCGGCACGTTACCGGCCTGCGATTCAGGCCGTGCGATAAGAAATAGCGATTCTTATAGTAGTGTAGATGTAGATCAAACAAGATTCTCCAGCAGCAGGACCACACCCGTCCCAGCACATTGAAAGTGTGGACCAAATTTCTTCAGCGTGCTTCTTTCGAACTTAGTGCGATCTTTAAGAGCTAAGGTCAATGCACAAGATTCCTTCAGTAAGTGAATTACCGACCATACCTAAGCCCATATGTGGCTGGAGAGTAGACATGTTACTATCATGAGCTTAAACCGTGATGGAATCAGAAGTACACACATTGGCGTTCCCTACGTCGGGGAAGGGGAGGGGCAGGTTCTCCACATCTCCTTTCTGGGGGAGCATTTGGCAGTTCTCTTTACCAACCTTTTTCTTTGGATCTCCTTTTCTCAAGACATTTAGGAGCTTCTATCGTATTGTAGAATTCGCAGGGAAAAAAAAACTTCACCTCTCTTTGCCGGTAGGTGTACAGCATGTCTACTTCAGCCCTCAAATGAAAATAGCTGATGTGGACAAGGCAAGACACCCCCAAAAATTAAGCACAAGGAGGCATTTACCTGACCTTCTGGAGACCAGGTTATTGAGACTCCATCTTTTCCTCCACTGACAAGTTGTTGCCGAGTCTCATCTGCAGCACACAGGCCAAAAAGGGAGGGTGCAGGCACACAACACCCAATCTCAGCTGAATCATGGATAGAACGTAGAGTCGTAGACATAACTTTGACAAAAGGAGGCGTCTGACGCCATTCCATGGTACAAACAGAGAGCACTGTCATTGTTGAGTAACATACCAGGGAGGCATTCCCATCCATACCACACAGACGAGATTCCAGAACAAAGAAAGTCCTGAATTTTTTTTGCGAACTGCCTGCATCATCGAGCTAATGCAGACCTGATCAACAGCAGACAGGCAGGACTGAACATCAGAGATCTCAAGGACCACAATGGGAGCTGCAAAGGTTGTCTGGCACACAGGACGACCTGAAGACACCAATGTTTAAATATCATTCCTCAAGGATCACAAAGTGAACTGCAAAGGTTGTCTGCGCACAGGACGATCTGTACTAAACACCCTGAACATTAGAGATCTCAAGGACCATAATGGGAACTGCACAGGTTGTCCGCACACAGGACGACCCGATGACACAGAGAGAGAGAAATTTGGTTATGGTGTGTGTGTGTGTGTGTGTGTCTGTGTGTGTGTGAGAGAGAGATAGAGAGAGAGAGAGAGAGAGAGAGAGAGAGAGAGAGAGAGATTGATTTCCATCGACAGGATGAGCAACACACCGACAAACAGGTAAGTCTCCAACCCCGCAGCTCACCCCACGCGACTTCCATCGATAGGATGACCAAAATCGAATGAATCTTCCGCAGGTCTCCAACCCTGCGGCTGGCCCCACGCGACAGGGAAGGTGTGGACCGGACCCGATGGCCGCAAGACGGTCGCCAGGCCTGCCCAGGCCGTGCCTGTTCGTATCCATGGTCTAGTGGGAGATTCATTGGATTTTGCTCCTCCTCTCGGTGGCAGGTGCGAGGCGAAGCGGCACCAAGCAGCATGACAGCAGGCGGCTGCAAGACGGACAGCCAACGGACCGGACCCGATGGCCGCAAAACAAGCCTCCCCAGCCCGCGCCAGTTCAAAGCAGGCCTCCCCAGCTCGTGCCTGCTCGTAGGCCACACTGTCGCCAGGCCTCCCCTGCCCCACCTCTTCGTACCCCGACGATCGCGATTTTCACATATTTTTTCTTTTTTTTGGCCTGGGCCCGCCACCCGAGGTCCCAAACCCGGAAACCGGGTCTCGTGCCGGCGTCACATGAGACGCGGCTTTTCTTTTAGTAGTATGTAGATGTAGATAGATGTAGAAACCGTGGACTAACAGAAGTGTTGAAACTTGAAACACACGTAGTCACGAGTTCACGAGTTCAAATCCTGACAAGTTTACAGCATAATAGACAATAATATTAACTGTAGCCAATCACCGGAACAGAGGGTACCAACAATCACAGCCTTAAGTTCATCCCCCAAACCATGCCGAAGTGTAAATAAACCATAAGGGGATCAGTCTATCTGTATGCGATGCCGGAAACACCTGGTTTAAGTGTGCAGAGCTGGAACGTGCTGGAACCTGCCAGCCTACAGCAAGGCTATGACATTGCAACTGGGAAGCAAGGATAATTTGAAAAATAAAAAATAAAAAATACCAATGACGTTTCTGTAGCACTTCCAATGCCTTCCAGTAATACGAGCAGTCAGGGTGATAATAACTTGGAATGTATATGACAACCATGTGACATATACCCCTCGCCACCCGATCGTGACCCCCCCCCCCCAACCCCCCCCCCCACGTGCAGACAGCAGACTGTCGGGGTTCAACCTCCTGATGAGTCAGTGAAATCTGACTAAACAGTTTGTGCACATTCCGATTCCTTCCAGTAACACGGTGGCAGTCGACGTAATGGTAACTCCATAGCTATACGACAACCACGTCACATATAATCCTCGCCTCCTCTTCCACAGACACATGTGCAGACAGAAGACTGTCGGGGTTCAAACTCTTGGTGAGTCGGTGAAAGTCCGACAACGAAACAGTCTGCCACGGTCATTCTCTTTGTTGTGGTGCTTCCTATACTGGACACAACAGCACACAGAGCCACACTTATTTGACTCCTCCCAGCCCACCACGGATTCGGAAAACATCTGATTCCCTTTTCAGTCATCAAGGATTCAAAATGCAAGCCCGTTGCCATTCCAAGAAATTCGAGGTGCCAGAATCCAAGACCTCTCCAAAACCATTCCACATCGCAAGCTGAAAAACAGTTCAAAAACTAACATAGATTATATATCTAAGTTAAGAACTCACCATAACAAATTGCAAATATTGTGCTCTGATGACCAAAGAAAGAGGTCACTGGTCTTAATCCTGTGAAAACACAACCACAGAAGCACACACAGGCTAGTAATCAGTCTCTCACATTCTCTCCACTGTGAATTTTTTTGCAGGATTCCCTGCGCATTGAAAACTTGCTTTCAATTGCCAGTGCCACTGTAGCACAGGTGCACCCAACCCCACAAAGGCCACAGAGCCTTGCCATCCTCCTCAGCCTTCCTCCAGTACAATCACTGGCAGTTTTCCGCCAGCGCAGCACATCATTGAGATGTCCTAGCAAACAAATAGCGGTTTGCACTGGCCTGAGAGATAGCTACCATATCCAAGGAAGGCAGCAGGCGCGTAAATTACCCAATCCTGACACAGGGAGGTAGTGACAATATACAACAATACTGGGCTCCTTCAAGTCCCGTAATTGGAATGAGAACAGTCGTAAACTCCTTTAAAAAAAATAAAAGGCTTGCAGTGGTTTTAGCACTTCAACACCCAACATCTCATGACACGAGCTGATGACGGCCATGCAACAAACGTGTGCAGTGGAAGTGCATCTCAATCTTACAAAGGCAAGGCTGGGTGAGAGGTGGAGTACAGATGGGAGGTCTGTTTCCCAATATTTGTAGGTCTGGACATCTGTTCTTTGATGTTTGTTGTAGGAAATCTGTTTTTTAGTGTTCGCCCTACCTTCTTCACCCGAACACAACATATGGTCATTATAGCCGTAGTTGGGGTATCTTTCGGTCTAAATACAGCCATAATGACTGTACCAGGGTTGCATAGCTGCCGACCGCCAACCCCGAGCGCGACCGTTTTGCAGCCGACCAGTAGAGCCGACCCGTCGGCGGTCTGCCGACCAGTCAGAAAACAACCATCCAATGATTTTTTTTCAAATCTGAGTTGGGG